CCTGATTAAGCACAGTGAATATGTGATTGTATAAAATGAAAACATAATAAAAAATATATTAAAAAAAAAAGAACTTATGCAAATGCTAAGAATTGGTACTACAACAAACATTTGTTTTACAAATAAGTGGAAGAACATAGCAAGGGAGGGCATATAACTGATAGATAAAAGTTACATCCTTTAAAGAAGGCTCCACATTTTCTGGACATCTTATTCATTGATATTAGTACAGTGAAGAATTTGCTAAAGTAATGGGGTGAGAAATGGGGTTGTTTCTATGCTGGATTTTAAAAGTATTCTTGAGAATTTTATTTTAATGGATTTAATTAATGGAGAAGGCTTAGTTTCAAAAGTTGAACAAATATTTGTTAAAGTTGTCTTTGACTATTTCCTTTTTTTCTAATCCCAAATGAGAAATTTACTTATTTGTGTTGAAAATAATCTTTCTTTTGTAGATAAGGGAAAGCTTATCAGGTTAATGGCCTGGCTTCTCCTATCCAAAAAACTACAGTATTCTACACCTGTAGCATTTAAATAGCCTCCCGTCTCAAACTCACCCCTTCCCTCTTCTACAGAATCACACTGCTTATTTTCAATGTACTTGGATAATTCATTGTCTGCGTTAAATCCCTTGCTGGGGAAGAGGGAGGGGAAGGGAGAGAAGGAGAGACAGAGAGCGTCAAGTGGAAATTCAATGAACTGAGGTACATTCGGAGCTTGCCTCTGAAGAAGTTCAGCCCGCGCAGAATATTCCCCCCTCCTTCCAGTAATGACCGGGCCGGCAAACAGAAGCCACTTCACACGTCACTGGCACAATCGGTTATAAATAGTATCCCCAGCCCCTCAACTGTCTGTGGTTGCGTCTTGTTCGAGCCTCGACGACCTAGCTTCGCACCCTTTGGAGGAGAGCAGACACTTCCTTGGCGGCTCTCCCTACCGGCGGTCAGTCCACCGCCGAGCACCTAGGTGAACGGTGAAGCGACGTCCGCTCCGTCGAGAGGATGGTCCTGTTAGTCCTCCTGGCCTGGCTCTCGCCCTGGCTTTGCCGGGCGGTTGCGGCTCTGTTGCCTGGGTCCCCCTGTGAGCCGGTGCGCATCCAGATGTGTCGATATATGCCCTGGAACATGACGCGGATGCCTAATCACTTGCACCACAGCACCCAGGAGAACGCAGTCCTTGCCATCGAACAGTACCAGGAGCTGGTAGACTTCGGCTGCAGCCCAGTGCTTAGCTTCTTTCTTTGCGCTATGTTCGCCCCTATTTGCACCGTGGAATTTCTCCACGACCCCATCAAGCCCTGCAAGTCTCTGTGCCAGCGAGCCCGCGACGGCTGTGAGCCCCTCATGAAGAGATACAACCACAGCTGGCCCGAGGCCTTATCCTGCGAGGAGTTGCCTGTCTATGATCGGGGTGTGTGCATAGTCCCAGAGGCCATCATTACGGATCTCCCGGCAGGTGAGGCGAAGAGGCAGGTTAAACTCCAAGCGGTCCCAGGTCAACCCTATAATCCGGTTTCCCAAGAGAAGTTCTTTTGGTTAGTTGGCTTGGAAGGTTAGAACAAGAAATGGCACTGCTGTGGATGGGATAGGGGATAGTCAAGAACTGGGAGAGTTTCAGGATTCAGGGGAACTTTCCACCAGAGAAAGGTGCTTCAAGGACCCAGGGGCTCTGAGACCACGCCGCTTCGACCAGCTTTCAGAAGTGCTCGTTCCGAAGAAGCGGTCGGGTTCAGGGTCAGCCAGCTTTTGAGATATTCGAAGGAAGCCCGATCGGTCCTCTACCTCTAATTGGGCTGTAGCTTTTCCAGGCAGTTTCAGAATCCATCCCATAATTTAGTCAGAGGAAACTTCGACCAAGGCTAGGTAACTCTCCACCCCCGCAATCCTTTCCCTACTGCCGCTTCCTAGGTGGTCATCTCAAGCAAGGTCAGTTGGGCGAGAAAAACCGACCCGCTTCGAAGCCGGCGTGTTCCGAAAGTGGCAAGAGCGGGGCTGGGCAGCTTTTCAGCTCCCAGTGCACTTGTGTGGGGGCAGGGCGGAGGTAAGCTTGTGTATGTGTGAACGCAAGAGGATGGGCTTTAGAGTCTGACGGAAGCTGTAAAGTCTCTTGGGAGAGGAAAGCTTTTCCTGTCCCTGCCTATCTCTTCTTCGCCTTTCAACCTTTCATTACCCCTTTGGGGTGACTGTTTTCTCGTTAAGAGGAGGTGAAGTGGATTGACTTTTCGGAAGACGTGATGCTCCACGAGAAGCCGCTGTTCCCAGAATGCAAGTTGCCCAGTAAGTGCCTTTTCTCTCTTCTTATTTCAGTGGGGCTTACTTCTGCTCGGAAGTTGGCGGCGATGGAAATTTACCTCTTTCTTTTCTTCTGCTTCTAATAAAACTTCTAGATCGCTGCAAATGCAAGAAGTTAAAACCCACGCTGGCGATTTATCTGAACAAAAATTACAGCTATGGTAAGAAAAACCGCGACGGATGATGATGATTACAGACAGGAAAAATCTATACGATCTCGATTTCCTCTTTCTTCCTTCCCTTCATAGGGAGAAGGAAAGTCCTGGGATTTTTAGCACGGTGAAATCGGACTCGTTAATTATTCATCCAGAGAGTCTGAGAATAAAACAAAAACAAAAACACAGAGACAAAATAAATTTGTGCTGCCTTGGTTTTGTATTTTGATTTGGTTTTCCTTAAATTTGGAATTTGTTTTATCTTTTCTATATTTAAGATAGTTCATCTTTGATCAATGTGTTTTTGAGAGGGAAAATGTTTTTAAATCGTTTTTTAGATGGAAACATATAATAATGTGGTTGGAAATGAGAAAAAATATACTATCATTTGAATTTCATACCAGGAGGGGGAGAGGGAGGACTTCACAGTTCGTTGGGAGGAACAGCCAGTCATAATAGTATTTTCTCCCTTTAAGCTGACATGTTTCCTTGCTGCTTCCAGTTGTGTAACAAGTGTAATGTCTTATGCATGATTTCAGAGCTAAGGTCAGTTGACCACTGTTCCGCCATTCAGAATGCATTCTGGGAAGATAGAAAAGAGATACACTTTTTTTCTTCTGATCATTTAGCCAGCCCACTTTGCAACCATTTCTATATTGAAGAGAACCTTTCATTGCCTTCTAAAACTCTTGTGTCTATCTTATTGCTTGTGACTTTCAATTGGGTGAAATAATACATCGTTAGGAGAATCATTTTTAAATCGGTATACACTAAATGGACACATACAGAATGTCTCCAAAATCTGAGACTCAAAAACGCCAATAGGACTGAAATTTTGCTAAGTTGCAGCTCCTTCAGTTCATTCATGTGATTATCATTTCCAATACTCCCTGAACAAGTCCTACAAGAAAGTCAGTGGGAAAGCTGACAGGAAGTCAGACATTCCCACCTATTCCCAACCAGCTAGTTAACTTCATGTCAGTTGTTCTTCTCAAAGAGCCAAAAGTGTAGACTTGATGCATTTCCCAATTGAGGTCATTCCATATAGCTGAAGTCACTTCTCAGAAAGTCCTCTTTTTCAAATGATCACTTTCCTGGGTCTTAGGCAATGGCATCAACAGTTGCCACAACATCAGTTGAGACAGATATTCCAACGTATGTTTAAAGCTGATCACCATTACCTTATGTTTGGTTCTCAAACTACTTTTTAAAATTCCCAAGTTTTGCTAGTACAAACAACTGTCTGATTAATAGTTTGGCTTATAGGGAAGTGTTAATAAGGAAACAAATTCAAGTATTGATATTATAAATATTAATAGGTCTGGGTAAATTCTTGTGCTGTTTATAACAACTTTCAGTTGGAGCCTTTGCTCAAACATATTACATGTTATTATTTTTATGACTAGAAAAACAGCTCCTACAGGTTGGTTCTGGAAATCTCATTTGTTTTCAAAAATACTTATCCTTCATTGAACTAAGCAACAGTTTCACATAAAGATTAGTTTTGTTTAGTACATGTACCATGAGATGTACAGTATTTTAATGGCTTTTCCTGCCTGCCTGAATAAAATATAAAAAATAAAAAAGAGGCCATTCTAGTGGGCTCACAACACAACCATAACTACATAACAAGCATCAGAGTTCAGTAGAACATTCTCTCTGGTAAATGTATTGGGTAGAGAAATTTTGTTTATGTTTCTCAGATGCAGGTTTCAGTATGTTACTCTGTACTTATTTTGTATTATTTTGCTTCTTGCAGTTATTCGTGCTAAAATAAAGAGTGTGGAGAGAAGAAGTTGCAATGAAATAACCACAATGGTTGATGTGAAAAATGTTTTGAAATCTTTGACTCCAGTTCCTCATGCTCTAATTCCTCTGTATACTAATTCTTCTTGCCAGTGTCCACCTCTTCTGCCAAATCAAGTTGTACTCATTATGTGCTATGAATGGCACACCAGGTATGTGATGATAAACCAACAAGGAAGTCATATTAAGATGTATAGCACCAATATTTTCTATTGATAATACACAGCAAACTGTACTCATTAGTAGTTTGAGATTTTCAGCAAAATAAATGCATAAAACTTTGAAGACAAGACATACTGTATATGCATCAGAAAACCAGTGGTGGGTTGCAAATCCCGTTCCAACTGGAGCAGGGCCAATGGTGTCCTCATGGATGTGCGCAGCGCCTCTACGACACTCCATGATGCTCCAGCTGCTCCGCAGAGCGTCACGCAGGCACTGTACGCGCCTTGCGCCTGTGTGGAAGCGCAGAAGCCTTTAAACACCAGTAAGGAGCCTGGGCAGGTGGATGGGCCCTCCAGAGCACCATACCAGAATGGTATCTGGTGCTCCGGGTTGGCTCCGGTACACCCATACTGGGGCGTACCGCCTCCAACCCACCACTGCAAAAAACCTACATATTGTAGAAGAAACAGAGATGGACTTATTGAGACCTAGATTCAAAAAATTTTCAGCTATAATGTTCAGAAGTTCATTTTGAATCAGTTTATAAGGTTGCACTGGTAATAATGTCTTATCATAAGCCCTGAGCAGCAGTCTGAGCATGTCAGTATCTAGTATGAGTGATTGTGATCCGAATACCACATCAATAGGTTTGAGTGCATTAATGCTTAAGAAAGAGATGGTAACAAAGAATAGAAAAGATTTATTTTGAAAAATTAAGAAAAGGTTAAACTTCTGAGTTTTGATTCTGAAAGAAAGGGAAAATGGGAGAGGAGTGGGTAAAGTAATAAGCACGATGTTGGTTAATCTTGAGATATTTTATAATATCAATACAAAAGGATGAATGCTTCCAAAATTAAGCTCAGGAATGGAAATGGTTTATAAAGAGTTATAAATTTCATAAAACAAACTTTCCAGAGGTCTTTGAGGTTTTAATTTTATGTGTTTTGTCAAAAGATTGGAAAAAGACAGTAAAAACAAAACATTGAGTTTCCCACTGAACTCAGCCATATATAAACAGAGATTGAGTTACATTGGCTTTTAAAAATGTCAAAAGTAATGGTCACTTACTTGGAAAAGTGCTGAAAGAAATACCACATTCTTGTTTCTATCACAATTTCTCATTTGTGATTACATTGTGGGTCTTGGTCTTGGATTAAAGGATGTGGAAACCTTAAGTTGAACCAGGGCCATTGGGGCAGGACTTAGGTTGCATGTTTCTTGTGTTGTAAGACAGAAACCTTTTAAAAAATGTTTTGAAGAACTGCACAAGCAATTCAGCATGTTACCCAGATGGAAATATAGGTTAAGGTTGAGTTATCCAATCATGAATCAACTGAATAGTATACAGGTGAAACTCGAAAAATTAGAATATCATGCAAAAGTTCATTTATTCCAGTAATGCNCGGTGCGCCTTATGGTCGTGAAAATACGGTATATTATTTTCAATACTGGATATTGTTATTACTATGCTTAGTGCCTTAGTTAGTTAAGTGCATGTCTAAAAGAAACCATACTAGGAGCATATTTGCATAAGTCCTGTTAGTATAAAAATCAGCTGCTCTTGTTATGAACACAATACTAAAGTTTATCATTCTGCACCACATGATTTCAAGGTGAGGTATTGAAATGACACTTCTTTGGCAGGCTGATCCAACTCTTAATCCAAGTGTTCTGGGGATTTTTTTCCTTTTCTTTTTGTATTTAATTATTTATATTTCTGGAATTTCTCTCCAAAACCACTTTGCATATATATTAGCAGAAAAATACAAGTTTAAAAGCCATTTTTATCCACACTGAGCAATATGTTTTTGGGAAAAAACTATTTAACATAGTTTTAGCCCTAAGTCATATTGTCACCCCTAACCCAGCCCATATACTAAGATTTTCATGAATTAAAAGAACAAATGGAGTATTTTAAATATATAGAAGTGTTTGCTAGATCTAACCACTGATACAAAATATTATTTTAAAAGAAAAACTGGACAAGTGAAAGAATAATATAAAGTGCACTGGAATCGATATGCATGACATGGTTTTTATAACACAAGTTAGAACACTTGAATGTAGAACAAATTATCCTCTGACTGGGAGCCTGATGTACCTTTATAGGGAAAAATGCATAAAGATATCTTTTAAAGTTAAACCATCCTTTACAAGTGGACCATTGTCCTGCCCCCATCGAAGAAAAAGTTGTTCATTCCTACCTGGTAGGATTGGCTCTACACTCTGGTTTTCATTTTGTCCAACCAGCTACAAGAACTGCATTCCAGAAGTGTACAAGGAGACCATCTATTATTATAGAAGCATGATTTTGCAAACCATCAACTGCCAAGTGCTGCTAAGTTAAGCATTTCTATAAGTATAGGAAAGTGGAAATGATTTTGTTTTATAGTTTGGAATTTAATTCATTTACTTTTTTCCCTAACAAGTTAACATGGCTGTTGTCTTCACTGATAGTGAATATCCATGAGTAGATGAAGGAATGGCTTCCAGTGTAATCAAAGTTTTCTGAATGCTAACATTATTTTACATTATGTTTCCTAGCGATGGGAACAGAGACTCCAAGAACAGAAACTACAAGCAGCCTCTAATAGAAAGCTGAATTCCAGAAACTCTGGTCACATTAGGATACCAAAACAAAACTTAAAGAAAAGCAATCCTGTGCTCACCAGTTCCAAGAAGATTAATAAGCTCAGAAATCGCCAGAAAAACATTAATTCTAAAAAAATATGAGTTCCACCTTTTTTTCCCATAGGAAAGCCAACAAGCTGGCCTGAAAAGCATATGATTTTCTGAACACTATAACCTAAACATTTCATTTTTATTTTGTAAAATAAATAAAAGCACATACAGTTTTGCACTAAACTGAGAGAGTTGATTATGCAGCCTACATTTAGCATTGCAAATCATAGCTGATTAACAGGTGTCTAGGTTAGTAGCTCTTTGATTTAAATATGCCTGTGTGCTTCTGGTACTAAGAATAGTTTTGCTATAGCAGAAAAGCTATATCTTATTTTGGCATTTATCTAGTATTTTATCATAATGCTAGCAAAAAGAGAGTCTTTGTCTAGTATCCTGAAGAATTTTTTTGAGTGTAGGGATGAGATGCCATGCATTGCTCTTGTGCTTCATCCTACCTTCATTGCACAGAAAAAGTACAATACCATAGCTTTATTGTCAAAAATGCATAAACAACATCACTGGGTCATTGAATTATACAGATTTCTGTGGCAAAAATATGTAATGCTGCTATTCTAAATATACTTACAATATACTTATTCAGTATATTGAATGTAAGGGGGCTTATTTTTAAGTATACACAGTATATATAGGACTGCCATATACCATATATACTTAAAAACAAGTCCCCTTACATTCAGTCTACCTTATTCCTTTGTCTGCCAAAAAGGGTCACGGTGGCTCAGTGGCTAAAATGCTCAGCTTGTCGATCAGAAGGTCAGCAGTTCAGCAGTTTGAATCCCTAGTGCCGCATAATGGAATGAGCTCCCATTACTTGTCCCAGCTTCTGCCAACCTAGCAGTTCAAAAGCATGTAGAAAAATGCAAGTAGAAAAATAGGGACCACTTTGATGGGAAGGTAACAGCACTCCATGCGCCTTCGGCGTTTAGTCATGCCGACCACATGACCATGAAGATGTCTTCGGAGATGTCTTTGGCTTAGAAATGGAGATGAGCACCGCCCCTAGAGCCAGAAACCACTAGTAGGCATGTGCAAGCGAACTTTTACCTTTACCTACAGGACTGCCAGTATAAAGCATGCTCTATTTTTTTTTTTTACTTCAACTCTGTTTTTGTTTATAAGTATTCATTGCTATAGTATATTGTTATACTTTCACATTTACAAAAAGCCGTTCGTTCAAAAATCTACTACAACAAAACTGAAAACTTGAACTTAAGTGTCACATAGATTTATTAAGAATGAGTATTAAAACAAAAACTTTTCTAACTAAAAACCTAAATACTAATTCACAACTACAGTATGTCTCAACATTTTTTATTAAAAATGGGAAGGCATCTCAACTAATTTAGCAAGGGCGAAACATTATAATGTCAAATTTATCTTAACTTACCCGCTTCAACAGGTTTCACAACAATAATATGTAGATGTGGATTCTCTTCCATGTTTCCCATTCATTTTACTGAGGAGCACTTTTTAGCAAGCATATTCTTTTTTGTGTTTGGACTGGATATTTCAGGTGAACAAGATAAAAAATTTAAAATGGAGGATATATTTTCATCTCCCAAATTCCCATCTCCTAAATTAAATTGGATTAGGGCAATTGACTGTAGTGCAGAAAAGCATGCAGTAATATTTACAGTATAAGATGTTTTTGAATACCCATTGTACTATACCTGAAGCTAATACTAACTTCCATCCATCTTATTTGGGGTAATAGTCTTTGAATGCAACTCTGCCTGTTGAAGAATTATGATTTAGTTGCTAAGAATCACACAGAGTCTTAATATTAATTGAAGAATTGCATATGTGAAGGACTTTGCTTCCCATGCTTTCTGCTATACATATAGTTTTCCAACTATATTTACTATATTTCTCTGATACTATATTAAGGATGAAATTCAAAGTGGCTCACTTGCATACATCTGAGCTTTTATTGAGATTGTAATATATATGCTTCATCGAAGAATGCCAATTAGGAATCCATAATACGATTGCTGGCAAGTTCAGAAATGAACTTTTCCTTATTGAAAATCTTGGACAATACATTTGAATTGTTTAGTTGGGCATAGATATGCATTAGAATTTGAAGAATTAGAATTAGACTGTCTTTTTCAAAACCATCTTGCAATCTTGTGTAATGCTAGAATACATTTAGGACCGTTTTTTTGTTTGTTGTCTATTATTGAACACATTTACCCATTAATAATGTATAAAGACTATAAACAATTGCCACTATGTGTTGTTGTTTTTTACTGATAAGATAAAAGTGATATTCAGCTGGTTTGGATCAGTTCGCATGAACTGGTAGCAGAAATTTTGAGTAGTTCAGAGAACCAGCAAATACCATCTCAGGCTGGCCACTCCCCTGCCTACCCATCCACTTACCCTGCCTGCCCCACCCACCCGCTTTACCCACCTGCTCACCCCGCCACTTCTCATCTCACTTCCTCAGCATAGCACACTATGTGGCTCCTCGGCTGCATTGACCACACAGTCTCTGTGGCTTGCCTGCCTTCCCATGAAGTGCCTGCTGCAGCCCAACTGAACAGCTCTGATCTGCCTGCATGAATAAGTAAGCCTGCCAGTCGTGGCCTAGCTAGCTTCCCCCTCATCCCCACCTGTCTTCCCTACTTCCTTCCATGCAGCATGTGGCCCCACCATGCTTCGCTGCCTTCCCTGAAGCCTTCCTGGAAGTCCTCATGGCCAGGCGCACTGCCCACACTCACCTAGAGAACCCTGGCCTGGCCTTAAACTACATCCTCTCCCTCAATTGAAACAATTTACCTGGCCTGTGGCCTGCCAGGCTCGACCGAAGGGCCATGGGGTATCACGGTGGGGGGAAGCATGAGTGAGAGGGGGAGGGGGAGGCACAGGGAGGAAGCACGGGCACAGGTGGACTGAAGCAGTTTGGGTAAGGTTCTTACCTTACTGTTCCATCCGTAAAGTACTGGGGTGGAGAGAAAACAGCTGACGACCTGGAGAGTACATGTTCTCTGGGTCAGCAGCTGTACTCTCTCCACCACTGCTCTTGCTGGGAAAGAATCTTGTGCAGCACAGCAAAATTTAGCAACCAGGAGTTGCCACTCTGGGTCCTTTAAACCCCATCCGGAAAGCGCTGCAGCAGAGAGAAACAGACAGGTTGAAGACTGTTTCTCTATGCTGCAGCGCTTTCTGGATGGGACTTACATGACCCAAAGCGGCAACTCCCAGTTGCTAAATTTCACTATGCTACACAAGTTGCTTTCCCAGCCAGAGCAGCGGTGGAGAGAAAACAGGCCGAGAGGCTTCATGTGCTCTCCGGGACAGCGGCTACTTCTTCTCTCCACCACTGCTCGTGCTGGGAAACAACAACTGCTTCTCTCTGCCACATATAAATGTTTCTATGTGTATTTCTTTCTAATAAGCGTGATGGTTTGTCTGAAAGTTCTCCAACAATTAGAGAACTACTATTTCTGATAATTTATTTCTAAAATGAAATAAATTGTTTGAAATTAGAGATCATGTAAAATGATTGTCATCATAGAATTCAAACTATTGTTTCACACTTAAGCAACCATGATTGATATACCACCACATAGCTCAATTTGATAATAATATTTTTTATTTATTTTCAGTTTTTAAATGTCCATGTAGCTAAAGAAAAAGTTTTAGCTTGGAGAAATATGAACTNAATAAATGAACTTTTGCACGATATTCTAATTTTTCGAGTTTCACCTATACAAGCCCATTGGTCTTCCCCAAGCTGGCATTCTCCAACCATGTTCCCTAACTGGAAATGCTGGGTATGATTTATACTTTTAATACATTTGGGGTACAATAGGATGAGAAAGATTAAAAGCATTCATTGATAGATTAAGGACTGTTTTTCACTTTGTTAGATAAACAATATTGCAGCAATTTTTTTGGGATTGTATAACAGCCCAGCAATTTAGAACAAAAAGAAAGAATTTGCTTGTGGCAAAACAATGCTGATGGAATGTTATAAATCACTGAGCTTTCAAAGCTGTGGGAAGATTTGTACCAAACCTGATTCCAAATGTCTGCAAGGTCAAAAGTAGTACGAATCTCCAAATAATGCTATTTAGTAACTTTGGACTGGAATCTAATCCACCCTCAATTTTTGGATCCCAATAGGTACCTGATAAACTAATCAATTCACTCTAAATGATTTCTGGAATCAATTTACGGTAGACAGTATGAAGCAAACGAATGCATTTATATAATTCTATATATCATTGATCTATACTATCTATACTCTATATTATCATTACTAAAAATTTAATACAATATAAAACTGCTTATATTTATGTTTTCATGGATATTGCTTTCATGAATTTCTTTTTGTAAATTGTTTTAGAAGAAAGACTAAATATCTTTGAACAATGCAGTATATAAATATAAATGTAGCATTTATGGTGGGAACATTGTTTAAGAGAAATTAAAAGTGTAAGTCCCAGTGACAGTATCCAAAGCCTTAAAAAATATAGATTTCAAAGTAGTCTAAGGGTGGTGGGAGTGATCCTCTGAAGGTCTTTTATTGTTACACTGATGACAACTCTTACCTTTTTTTTTTAATTCACTGCCAATTATCAATTGAGACTGTGGATCTCCAGGTTCTAAAGCTCTCTCAATTCCCATTACAAGGACAGAATCTACTCAAGACGTGGTTTGATTAATGCTTTTTCCTATTAACTTTAATGTTAAGGGATTAAGAAAAGAAAGGAACAGTTCTTTAGTAATAAACCATCAAGGCACTTTGCTTTGCTTCTCATTCACTCCTCTTGCTTTGAAATCAAATGTCATACAAAATAAAAATAGATAAAGAGCCCTGATCAATCAGATTAAAAAAACATTTAACCCAGTTTTCTGGGTTATGTACATGATCACCAAATGCAGCAGTAGTTCCCAACCTTTGCAGCTTGGCAGCCCCGGCACGGTAAAAGGGGGATGAGGAGAGGGGAACTGGGCCATACAAGCAGTGGTATAATGCACACACACATGCATGTGCAGCTCAACTTGTGTGAGCAGCAGGCCAGTACACATGTGCATATGTGTGCAGCTCAACTTGTGCAAGTTGAGCTGCACTTGCATGTGCACACATGATGGCCCGCCACTCACATAGTCCTGTTGTAAATAGGCCATGGCTCGGTAGTGGTCCACAGCCCGGGGGTTGGGGATTCCTAAACGCAGGAATCTTATAAGTGTGGCACAGAAACATTTTCTTTCTTCTTTTCTATAACAACTGGTATTAAACACATTAAGTTATAAGATTACATTGATATGTAAGATAATGTAAGCAGTCAACCAATGGTAATTTATCCCCTATGAAGGTAGCAGTACAAGTAGCCCTTGACTTACAACCAGTTCATTTAGTGACAATTCAAAGTTAAAATGGTACTGAAAAAAGTTCTTATGATCATTTTTCACACTTACAATCATTCCACCATCCCCATGGACACATGATCAAAATTCAGACTCATGGCAACTGACTCATATTTATGATGGTTGAAGTGCCGTGGGGTCATGTGATCATCTTTTGTAACCTTTTAACAAGCAAAGTCAATGAGGAAACCCCATTCATTTAACAAACATTTAATAACTACAGTGATTCACTTCATATCTATGGTAAAAGGGTGTAAAATGGAACTCATTTAACAAATGTCTCACTTAGCAACATAAATTTTGGGCTCAATTGTATTCATAAGTAGAGGATTACCTGTACATTTAAAGGTATCTAAACTGTTGGTAATAAATCTCAAGACCAAAATGCGATGAAGATTGTGTACATTTCTATTCTGATCTTCTTAATTATGCAATTATTTTAGGTTGATGCTTCTTGATGAGTGCTCAGTGGAAAAGTGGAAGGTTCCATTAAGCAAAAGGTTTCAGGTAAGAACAGATTCTTGTAAGCATGTAGAATGGATGCGATGCACAAAAGCAAGGAGTATGTTAGCCTATATTCCAGGGTCAAAGTAAGCAAGAATAGAGAAATACAAATTGTCTTAGAATTTTAACAAAACTCCTTCCTACGTGATATTACATAATTAGAAAAATAGATAAAATTCTGGAATGATGTACCGTATTTTCACGACTATAAGCCGCACTGAAAATCCTAAAATTTGATTAAAAACCGGCAGTGCGGCTTATAACCCAGTGCGCTTTATATATGGAAAAAGATTGAAAATCTCTCCCTCCCGATTTTACGCTCAAACTTGAAGCTCACACACGTCCCTTGGGTCTCTCCCTCCCGATTTTACGTAGTACGCTCAAACTTGAAGCATGCACACACATCCCTTGGGTAAGGTGACCAGTGTACATAAAG